ATCTGCTAAATTGTAGAGCTTATTTTGCGACATGGAGAAATTATATTTGGATGTCTAGTTTGTTTAATTTCTCATAAGAAAAGTAGAATTCGAATAACATAGATAGATTTTGAAAATAAATACATCATCTAGCATGTAGCATATTGATTCTTTATTAGAAAATCTACTGCCATTTCCTGTATATAAATCAGGCTCCTGGCACATTTTTTTCATTTAATTTTATACAATGTACTCCGGAACCACCGTTATACAAAATTCCTTCGTTCATCTGTGTTTAAGCAAACAGGGGTCATCAAGTTCATATGATGTTAAATGGGGAGAGGGGAGAACTGATACCTCCGCGATCGCGGTATTTATCTCATAACGTTTACGCTTGGTCGTCGAGCTCAAAACTGCATAACGCGATCTGAAGATCGCCATATTTATTGGACATTAAATACCCTTGTGATCTTTTACTTCCCCGTGTGGCCGAATGTCATGCTAAGTAGAAATATTCAGGGTATTTCACGTGCTTTTTATTTAAAACTTAACAAATCAATTAAGTTTTATTGATAGGAAAATTATCGTGATGCGCCCAATGAAGTTGCAAAATACATGTATAATGAAACAATATAAGCTGAAGTGGAACGGAAAAGATTTGATCGAATACAAATGATGAGAAAATTATTAGAGAAATTCATCGCTTAAATATATTTTGCAAATGCTCAGTTGATGAAAAATAGATGAATATGTACATTAATATTATATTTCTTCATTTATGGCAAAAGAATATTATTTATTGATTATATCTGGATTTTTGCAGCTTTAAATGTTCTTTTATGGAAAAAACTTAAATATCATCTGTTTACTTAAAGTAATTCCAAAGTAAACATTTTCCTCCGTCAAACTAATATCTACTCAAATGAACGATAATCTTCCAAATTGTAATAAATACATGTCTACGCGATCTTTTTTATGCCCATCGCAGAATTGCGTTTTTTATCGGATTCACGACAAAACGTTACTGAAATAACTAAAGCACGGTAACATCCTTTTTTCCATATTTTTACTCTTTCCTACTAAAATGAGGACAAAATTGGAACAACAACCTGCAAAATGTGAGCAGTTGCTCTGTCGCGCGACAAGGAAACAGGGGGCTACGATCGGGGGGACATCCGCTTACTTTGCCTCGCAACAGGATGTAGGGAAAATTTTTATCACAAATCTGTTAAATCTGGAAGTTACCGATATCGCCTACCCCGATTATCCTCACCTTCTATTCCGATTTTGCTGTATTAAGCTCTAGAACAAATATAGAGAGTAAGAATTTGTAATTGTTGACAGTTTCTGAAAATACACCATTTTTATGTGTCTTTTCCCTTTGAGCATAATTTTTGAACTGGAAACGGGGTATATTTTTAGAATTTTTCATTCATTTATTATTTTTTATTTCTTCCTCCCTTTTGTTGTATCCTGTTTTTGTGGGTCACTAATTAGTTTTTTCATTAAAAATGCTGCTTGGTCTGTCTATAGTTTGTATAGAATTAGTGATACCCTTTGCTCTGAACAAATGAATGACGTGGTATATGCTGTGTTTGTTTCATTGTTTCGTTTTTAATATTTTTATCATTATTTATTTACTACTTACCTAAGAACCGTGCTTGCAAAATAATTTTAGATTTGCATCAGAAATAAACAAGCTTAAAAAAGACAAAATCATTTTATTGATAAAATTTGTCCATCTCGTTAAAATCTGCTCAATATGTTATCATTTGTATGTAGAAAGGTGTTAGAAACGAGGAGAGATTTGATAATTTATCTTCTTTGCAAACTGTTTTCTGATTTCTTTATCAAAGAAACATCAACAGCAATTTGAAAGTCCAACAGAGATATTTATACTTTGTGATATTCCGCACGTCTAAAATCCCTGGTCTATTTATAAAACAGTCATCACATTACTTAAATATAATTTCCAGCTCGATAAAAAATGGATACAAATTTACTAAGAGATATACCACATGTCTGGAGAATGAAAACTGCAATTAAATAAATAACAAAATTTAAACAAAGTAAAAGTCGAAAGGGTTAAATACCCCCAGACGGAACTGATGCAAGCAAGTACAAAAAATGTAAACATGTTAAGCGTCTGGTGCTATCCGAACAGGAGAGAAAATCCCCTCCCCCACCAACCCCCCACCCTACCTTGTCAAAATTATATTTCACGGTTATAAAATAATGAAATAAAACTACATCCCAATAATCTTCAAATATTTAGAAAGAATTCAACTTGGAAATTAGCTCTTAAAGAATGTTTCAGCAATATTTTATGATATTCATCGCTACATGTATTTGGTGAAACGTTTCAAATTCCAAGTTCTTTCATTGCTTTCTTTGGAACTTCTATTATATCCTTGTTTTTGTCTTCTTTTTTTAAATCATACCAGGGTTGTTAAATTTGTGCTCTATAACAAACAAAAAAAAAAGAAGATAAATATTTTAAAGAAATAGATGTAAGAAAACACGTAAAAAATATCGTTTTATGTGAGTAAAATGTTCTTTCCGGTAGCAAAAATATTATCGATCTATTAAATATATTTACTTTGAAATTTCAAAATAAAATATATAGAACGTAGAAAAAGGATATAATAAAACATTGACTTCAAAATGGAAATGAAGATTATAAAGTAATTTCCATATGGAAATGAAAATATTACAGTATCTTCCATATGTAAATCAATTTAAAAGTTTCATTTTGTCGGTCTTAATTAATTTCTTTATACATGTATAGTCTTTATGTAAAGATTTTCATTCATGCCGTCATTTTTTCTCAAAATGATGAAGAAAAGTACAGTATTAGGATAGGAAATATATATAAAGCATTAATCAAGAAAGTGGGAGAGGGGAGAATAAGATTCGCCTAACCAATCTATTATACTTTACTCAAATCTAAAGGAATTTTCTTAGACGCAATAACTGTATATCTTTTAATTTTGATAATACCAGGTGGTGGCATAAGTGTACGAAGAAAATTGTGCACATTTTCTTTTAGCCATATGAACTACACAGTTTCCTTTCATTTCTAATATTCTTTTATGGTAACTTAGGAATTTTTTGTCAAATAGTAATCAAAAAAAATATTTATATTAAAAAGAAACTTTCCTTGTCCTTGCGATACAGATGTTTATTTTAGTGACGTACTATACTAATTAAGATCATTGAGCGAAACTATCTAATACTGAATATGAGATATTGAAAAAAGAAACATTTTTATTACATATACTTATATCAAAATATCGTAAGAATTTTTGCATGAATTTTTAATGAAGAACTTCGAGTTACTGCTACTTTGTTTTCCATTTTTCTACAGCGGATGTTTTTGTATCCATCTTTCTCTATATATATATATTTATCATTTACCTCGTTTTCTTGAGGCTGGTCGTTTTCACACAAATATATTTAGAAGATGCATAACCATGTTTTTTATGCTTTACAGACAGTCAAAATTATTCTTTCATTTTTCATTTACCATTTTCTGTTTCCTGACATTTTAAAACTTGACAAACTGTTAATATTAATTACTTGGAGGTATGGCGCGTGTCTTTGATTGCTAGCCTTTCCCACAACACTTTAAAGTTCCAAACTTTTTTTTCTCCCTGCAAATGTTCCTTATGCTAATAATAACCGAATAATAATTACTTGCCGTCCTGTTAGTGTATCTTTTAACTGTTAGGTAATGAACTCGTTTAAAAAGAGAATCGCTGCCTCTGTTAAGAAAATTATTGGAAAATAATACATGAGGGAGTCTACCCTCCGCAAGCATGCCGCGAGCCAATTTCAACAACTGTTGTTATGTCTTTATGCAAGCTTCCGCCCCCTGCCGAGGATTGAAGACTTTCTTCAAGTATCGGGTGTAAATCTTCCGATGTTGGTCCTCTTTTTTAAAGCATAACTTCTTAATAATTATTGTTTGCGAGCTGTTAAAAGCTACGGGAGGAATTCAAGGGAGGCAAGGATGCGCTTGTCAATCAAGAAAAAAAAATCTGAAGCACTTGGTATAATGTGTAAACTGCATCAGTCGGCAGTACGACAGAACCATTAAACAAATGTTATCCATTAGAAGGAACAACTGGTCTTATTTTTAATACATAAAAAGAGAAACATTTGATGAGTTATATCTTTCATAACGAGAAGATGAGAGTTGTTCATTTTTCTTCGATGACATTAACATAGGGAACCTGAACTTTTTTTTTGAAGTTTTGCATATACAAGACGTATACAAGCATACAAGGAGATGTTTAAAAGTAATTATTTAATCACCAAAGTATTGTTATTTACTTTTCCTCATTATTTTTGCCTAGATTTAAATACACGCCTTTATTGTCGCTCGTGTTCTATGGATTTCCTGTCTCCGTCTGACTTAGATTTTATTTTCGTATTTACTTTGTTGGTCCCCGCTCATTAAGAGGATTGTTCTTAATCCCTTCCCCCGTGTAACACTTGTCTGGTTATTTAAGATTCATTCTAAGTCTTTGTATTATGATGAATGCATGATGAGAACATTGTCTTTCAAACGATGATGCAATAAGACCGACGGACTTTGCCGGAATGACAAATCGGTAACCGATAGGATTGTCCACAGATGTTTTCTTATATTAATACAGGGATTGTTCGCGTAACCTCAGTACAATAACGTTTATCGTCTTGCTTCACCCTCATAGTTGTTTTCAGTATAGCATTTTGTATTTTAAAAAAAATCAGAATGTTTTTGCAAAGGACACAATTGACAATTTCTATTGGTACCTGTAAATACATTATATAAGATTTCGCTACTGTTAATCTCGTGTCACCAGTAAGAGTCGTTGAACAAATACGTTGAAGTTACACCAATCTATAGTTTTAGGCTTTTATTGGAAGTTCTCACTTCAACTCCAGTTTATGAATATGGAAAGGGGGATTTATTCTGTAAATCTAAACATTTCTATTAATTTAGCTTCCTTTATACCATTTTACATATTCAATAAAGATTTGTTTTTTTAATTTTAGACAATGGAAACTGCAGCCAAGCTCCATCTCCGTTAGATGAAAACGACAACGACAAAAACCCAGAAAAATCAGGAGAATGTAATTTAATGAAACAACGCTCAAGACGAAAACCCAGGGTGTTATTTTCTCAGGCGCAAGTGTTTGAATTAGAAAGAAGATTTAAACAACAACGATATCTATCCGCACCCGAAAGAGAACAGCTAGCATCCTTACTCAAACTAACTTCTACGCAGGTGAAAATCTGGTTCCAAAATAGAAGATACAAATGTAAACGCCAGAGACAAGACAAAAGCTTAGAATTGTCTTCCATGCCACCAAGGCGAGTCGCAGTTCAAATGTTGGTCCGCGATGGACGGCCATGTTTGCCGCAGAACGTCCCCGGAGCTCCTTATTCCGCGTCATACAGTAGTCCCTATTATCCCTCATCATTGAACACTCACGTCTCATCAGCTGTTCCCATCAATCCTATGCAACAAAATCCCTACGCAAATTCACAAATACCCCAAGGCATACGATCTTGGTGATAATATTTGTATTTGACCTCAATTTGTTGTAAATATATAATATATTGTAAATAAGAGTTGTATTTTGAATAAGAATATGTGAAAAAGGAGTTGTGTTTCATGACAAGACAATGCATTTCGTCAAAGTTTATGATACAAAATGAAAATCAAAATTGAAAACAATATTGACCTGTGTAACTGTCATGAGCATTGTATGTATGGATAAAAAAGTGCTGATGTGTGGTTGAATATTTTATCAATTGCGATAAATTCCGACATTTTTTCGCACGTGATTAAAGTTAGTAGATTTTGATTCATTATACTCATAAAAATATTGTTAACAATCTGGACTATTTTGCATATTTTACAGTTTTATACGTTATTATTTTTATGTCATTTTTTTGCAAAGACTTAACATGTGTTTTTTTTAAATTTGTACAAATGATGGGTAATAAAAACTAATAAAGATTTAAAAATAAAAATACGCCATATTTTCCTTTTTATATGATTGCTTACTTGTACATGTACTCATATTTTTTTCTGTTCTTCAGTTATATAAGTATATACATAGAAAACTTGTTTAAAGAAAAAAATCTGTATTTTAAATTCATAAATTATCGTATATACACAATTATTACTGAATACACATATTGAGGAGAAATTGTACAGGGGAAAGAACTCATTGCTGCCTTACGCGAAGGGAGAATTGCAAAGAAAAATTGGAAACTTCTGTTCCAAAACGTTGCTTTCATGTGCATTTCACTTTTGCTGGTCAATATATATGTACAAACAGTGACTCTCTTAACATGCAAAGTACCTTAATAGTAGGAACAAGTGGCTGACCACATTTTTCTCATGGGAAACACTGCCACAAATAACACTGTAAATGTTGAATAAAAATACAACTATAGGTGGTGCTACTTTATTGGTTTCCTAAGCACCTATATAAGACACTGTGTAACATATACTCATAGAATCTTGCCTCTAGATTGCTTCTTAAGATAGATACACTTAAATCAATTAGAAAGCAATTAAGTTTTGCGTGTAGATGGTTTTATTTCGTTGACAAAATTACTCAGGACAACAAGATGTGATCTTCAGTTGGAGTGCGCTATTAACAAATTAAAGAGTCTTTGTTTAAGAAACAAAATCTACATTGTATCATTTGCTGTATCCTCCCAAAACAGAAAGCGCCTCAGTTTAACGTGCCGAAATACAGATAATCATTATGAACAGGGAGACTTAATTAATCTCTGGCCAAAATACACTTTTGTTTCTAAGCTAATTTTAACAATACATATTTTGTATTTATTAATCTTATGTACATGTGGACACGAAGATTTCTAGTACACAGGATCTTTGTTGAATGGAATGCTAGTAGGCCTAACTACATGTAGATGCAGTTCCAAGTCAATATACATAGGATCTACATGTATAAAAAAAAAAGTATATAAATATCTGCAATATTGTATACAGTCTGAAATTCTTCAACAAAATTTCATTAAACGTACGTTCTTTATTAGTAAAAAAGATATTGTTTAAAATCGAAGACTTAACTGCTACCCTAGCTGGGCCAGCCAGTAATAATAGACTAGTATTTTTCGGAATCTGATGTTATCCCAAAAACATAAAATACATGAAGAATAGTACAATTATGATAATCAAAAAGAAATTTCAATATGCCCATATTTCAAAAAGAAATTAACATATTACAACCCACCCGAAGTAGTGAGTATAAGATTCAGTTTGATCTTTGACATACATATATCCTTGGCCTTGACGTTTAACCCTATAACCTTCACCATGAACTTGGAACAAATACCCGGTATGACTTTGAGCATTTCCAGTTATTTCTCGGTTATAGATTATTGGCAGAAATTAGAAAAAACAATAAATTATGAATAGAAGAATTGAAACAGCATGTCCTGTATACCCAGTTCTTCGCGGCAAGTGTCGGAAATAGAAAAAGAAAGAACCATGTCAGTTGTCACGTAAAACTGAGAAGAATTAAGTCACTTAAGAACAAACTATACATAAAGGGTGTAACTTAAAACTGCACGATTACTGAAACAGAATAGGCAGTAAAATTTGAGAAAATGGTTTGGGTCTTTGTTGCGAGTCATTAGGATATGACTTTCCTCAGACCGGATACGTCATATTGTAAATATTCCCGTCTTTTCGGGAGGACGGAAATTTGTGGGACCTCGATCAGCAATACCTCCCACGTCTACATTCTCTGCAGATGAATGATGTCCACAAATGTGCTATAAAAGCATGTTATAACTCTTCTTTGAAGAAACTTGAATTATTTTGCAATTCTTCGTTTATAAGTTTCAACATAAAATAGGAGAAAAATTGTGTGTGCCTGTGTATTTTTTTAGATCCTTGGTTGTGAGAAAGTATCGACCATGATCTACACAAATCACTTGTAATTTTTATATACACTTAATTCTCATCTTTAGTTTGAAATTAGCAAACTTAATTGTCTATTTCTCTGTGCAATCTGAATCAGCACTGCGCGTGCGTTTGAAGATAAAATACTAGCAGACGATTATCAAATATACTCGTATTTATATTTTAGTCAAGAAATTTTCTTACAGTTCAAATAAAAAGTTTTCAGAAAAAAATGAGTATATAATTATATTTGCCGCTTTATTGCATATATTTGACAGCTTCTCGCTGGGTTATAAATTCAATGAAATACTCTTGTTTACAATGTTTTCAATTTCATAATCTCTTAGCTATGAATTATGTTCCAACAGCACAACTACGATGCCAGAGTTAATGAAGACAGAGGCAATTGAAAAAATAAAGAAAATATTAAAAAACAAGAAAATTTACCATTTTGAAGTACATGTATTAATAAAATATGAAAATATGATGGTGACATATGATAGTAGGCCTAGAAGAACTTGGAGGGGGATAATTGTGTCAGTTTATACTTCACTATATGGAAAGATAAGCTAATTTACAGTTTTGTCCCCTTAATAATTTTGCCAGTAACCCCTACAGTAGAAGTACAAACTTATTTACGGTCATCACCCTTCAAGAAATTATGTGTAAGATGACCTTTTCTAAGCCTGTCAAGAATTTCTATCTACCTTCCACCCCATCCATCTCCAACTAAAATTGCAACATCTTATTCTTGCTGTCAAAGCCTAATAATATAGGGTTGTAATCAAAACCTATTTTCAATGAAGAATTAAACAAGTTAAGAAAGCTTTTTGAAGAACTTTATGCATAGCGAAATAGGGAATGGGTGACAAGGCAGCTTCCGGCGGAGAAATGTTTCGACCTGATGCGTATTCCTCCATGCACCAATCACATCCAATTGGCAATCACATTTGCCAACTGGTCTACTATATTCTGAGGCATGCACGATCATATGTCTTGTCCATAGCATCCGGTTTAACTTCTCTTATACTTATTTCTTTCTGCGAGTTAATTCTCTAATCAAATTTCAAATTATTCTAATTGAAATCTCAACTCGTGGGAACATAAAGTATCTTCGATGTGTTGGATGCTTTATATACTCAGTGCAGGCATGAAAAGATTTGATTGATCAGATAATATTATTAATAGTGTTTAACGCCGAATCGGCAATATTTCAGCCATATACAGTATAGCAGGTTATTTTAGCGGGGTGCTAATTTTGGCTTATTCTGACGTTTTGATAATTGTCCGTTAATCTCTAAAATAGTCAGTACTCTTCTTAGTGTCCATCTGCAAAGAGCTGAAACCCTAAGTCCGCTAAAATAACTTACGCTGTGCCAAAATTATTGGCACTATTGGCAAAACGCCAAATTTTACACCCGCCAAGGAAACCCGCTATACGGTATATAATTTCGGCGGATGAAAAGTATTGCTTTGAAAAGTTTTGTTTGGTGAATTTCAACGATGGCTCTAGTTTATAAGAGACAAATTTTTATCGCAAAATAAAATGAAATAAAATTCAGAACCAGTTTGTATTGTTTTATTGAATAACGTTTGCAACATCCCCCAGTATTCTTTGCATGTGTATTTTCACATACATGTATATTCAAATATTATCTGCCCATGCGCCTCTGCATGGTCGTGTATAATAATGGAGTAGTAAGAAGAACCAGACTTTTGATTTCTTAGAAAGAATCAAAAGCATATTAGGATATGCACTAAATTATAAAATCCCTTTACATCTATGTGCATGTATATATTCTATATGATCGATAAAAAGGCATTTATTGTACATTGCATTTACAATTACTGAAATTTTTGTGACCCCCTCCCTCTCTTAACTAGTACTGGTATTTTTTTTAAACAGCTAGTTGAATCATTGCAGGATTTAAAAAAAAAACTGTGCAAAAAATGAGCAGAGTACTTCTTTAGAATGACATAATAATCAAACACGTGCTACACTTTTGGCTTGACTAACTACTGGACTTTGCATCCCGCGTAACACTTCACGAGTTGATGACTGTGTTATATATTTTCTCTTTCATAAGTACTACTACTTTTCCTTGAATGGAAATAAGTACAAAAATATATGTTATAAGTGTCTGTCATCCCTGTTTGGGGGATATGATAAGTGTTTGTTTAAGATGTTCCAAATTGTCATTTTTGACAAGAACGGGTGTCGGGTTTCATGAAGAGGACCGCCATTCAATAGAGCGATCTTATTTGTTTTTTCTTGGGTCATTGTCGCCTCCTCAGGTACTACTTTAAACACAGTGAACGTACACTTGAAATGAAAGGCATTTTCGACACATTTCTAAAGGTTTACACCGTAAACAGAGAGTTGCTTAAGGACCCAGCTCTCAAGAAACAACCGAGGAAAAAAATCCCCCGTGTCGTTCATATAAATATCCACTCATGAATGGTTTGCCTAGAAAACGTTCAGGAAGTGGTCATGATTTTCACTTTTCGTCTATTAAACTCCCCTTTAAATAAAAATACGTATATACATGAATACATATGATCTCACACATTTATTTATACTTTTTTTCTGATAAAGGAACGAAAGATAGAATTTGTTAACAGTCGATTACAAGAAAAGGTCGGACAAATTGTAAATATTTCTTGCTTCTGGTAGACGGTTTGACGGTAGAGCGCCGTTGTCTGCGCTAGACGCCCGCGCCAGATGGCTTGATGGCGGTAAACGCATCATTCTTCTTCTGCCCTGCGCAGTGTCATGCTAGTATACAATCCACAACAGCGCGTCACTGTAGAACAAACGGTTGACACCAAGAACTGATATTGAGATACACAATTGCTTTTGCTTTATCAAATAGACTAATTAGTTCATGCAAAAAAAACCTAGACTCTGGGCTAGAAGTTTACAAAAACTGATAAATTATTATTATTATCCGTTACTGTAGTTGATGGACATGTTGTTTAAAAATGTTTTTTTTTTTTTTTTCTCTCTCTTTAAATAGATTAAAAGCGATATTTACATGCATATTATTTAAAATATATATCAAGAAGAATGTAAAGTAGAATATTAAAT